TAATTTTAGCTTAGCTTATACTGTCCATTATACATTAAACGCACATTCGTAAACATATTTTGCGCATGCGCACACGCATATTCGCAGCCATAAATGTCTTAAGGCCCGTCCACACAAGGACGCTCCTGACGTAGTTGACGTAATTTTTTTGACGCCTGCGTAAATTCGTTTGATGCAGAAGACGTAAAACTGAATACGCTCCTGTTCAGCTTTTTCGCCCGCGACGCGCGCGTATAGCCAATAGCCGACCGAGTTTTTATCACATGTCATAATCAGAAAATCTTCTTACTTGCCCGTTTCAATATGGCATCAGAACCACACAGAGATGAGTTTTTGCTTAGAAATATAACTGTATACAGCAATAAAATAATCAGCATTCTTCACACCATCTTCAGATTTCTCAAACCGTACATATTGGTATACATTTACAATTCTCATTAAAGGGGAAACTTTATATTTATAAAGCAATGATCCGACCAGTATATCCATATGCTTCACCTATTTATAACACCGTAAGTAATAGGAACCTAAATAAATTACAGTTTCTACGAAATCAAAGTTTCTGTACAAAATTCTCCTTAATTATTATAAATATTGGCTATATCATGTTTAATAAAAAGCTCTATAAATATCCCAATATTAAATACACCAAAAACTAACTTCAGCAATATAACAACTTCTAAAATAAAGCAGTTGACTGTGAAAGAGTATTCAATAAAATACAATTACGAAATTTTGGAGGAAAGTTACAACTTGTGTCATACAGCAATCATTTATTGAAGTTTAATTAAATTACCTTTGCAGCGACTTCTACTTGTTACATTATTTTTCACAAACACTGCTATCACAGATAGCTGAGTGGTCAGCGCACTGCTTTGGTGGCGGAGGAATGGAAAGGTGGTGAGTTCGAACCTCACCCGTTGACGGAATATAATTCAGTTAGCTTTTCTCATTTTGAAATGTGTTTCTTATATTTAATCATGAATCATTGTATTCTTATTTTACCTATTACTATTGTTTTCATTTCTTATTTTATTCATTAATATTATTGTTTTTAATTTAGTTTAAAAATGTGCTGTGCAAATAGAAATCCTTATGTAATAATATATCTGCATCTCTTTATCATATATCATCTATAAATTCTCTCTTTATTTTTACTTTATTACATATTTTATCATGCACATAATTTCTCATAAACTGTCCAAGTTTGAACCTCATTCTAAATTCAAAAATAAATAAAAAGAAAAACAAAAGACCAAGGGAGAGGGAGTTAAAAAAATATGAAGTTGGTTTTATTATATGGTGGATGGTGTATATAAAGAAAATTAAGTAATTTAATTCTCTTTACATACTGTATTCCAAACCAATTTTATAAATCCTAAATTTCATACGATATAGAATCTGCAAGTCTGTCAAACTGGTTCGATACTCATCCTGAAGGAATTAAAAAACAAGTAATATACCCCCCTTCCCCAAAAAATTAAGTCAATTCCTACTTAGGTCCACAAAGAAAAATTTTAAAAATACAAAAATAAATAAATAAATAAATAAAAATACAAACAGAATTTTTTAAAGTAAAAAAATTTAATATGTGAAAAAGCTGTATTAACATCAAGTGTCATTCACTACAAGTTTAAAAAATTGTATTTTAACTTGAGTGGATGAATAAAAAGCATTTTATGTACTGAAAATTTGAACAAGATATAGGGAGAGTGTGAGCTAATAGTAGTAATTTAATAATTCCAGATATTCCTTTCGCAAACAAGGCAGTAAAAAAAAAAAAAAAAATCTTTTTGAACAAGTCACTCTAAATAAATCTTTCGGACCCATTCTTGCTATTTTTTGCGGTTTTGCCTCTGCTTAATAATTGCACTTAATAGTAAAGTTTCAGCTATAAAAAAAATCATCCTGATTCGGACAACTTGCCGCAAACACACAGAAGAACAGTGAAGTAATAAGATACAGCTCTGTTGACGCTATATTACAGCGTCACATGATTTTTGCGCAAAATAATTCTATTGGTTAAATGCACTCTTCGCAAGCGTACTCGTTTGGATGCTTTTACGCTGGTAACGTAAAAGCGCGTCGTCAGCTACGTTTCGGGCGTACTCGTGTGGACGGGCCTTTAAGTGCATGCGGCAACGCGACGCATGCGCAGAAAGTTTGTAGCTTTGAGGTTTGGATTATAGATCATTCCAGATTATGGGTGTCCGAATTAACGACTTTTGACTGTACTGTGATTCTGTAATTGCAAGCTAAATGAATGGACAGTATAATAAAGAACACTAGCAACTTTATTAACAGTAATTACTACATTCAGTATTATTACTTGTTGCCTTAGCCGAAAGCAGCGGCCAAGTGAGAGTTTCTTTGTCTCTAGAATAGGTAGCGCTGTATTCTAACTTAATATGCCACTGACGGCTGATATTCCAAATTTTAATATGTAAATTATAGACACAAAATTTAACAATTTCAGAAAAAACTGAGACAGTAAGTCTGTACAGGGCTACTTATCAATTCTTCTATAAGATCAGTTTGCAAGTTTCTTTGAGATGGTTCAATAAGTATTTGTCTATACATCATCTGAACATCAGCTCCTAGTACATAGATGTACTTTCAAAAATCTAATAATAGTAGGAAAAAAGTTGAATTAACTTGATTTTCCATTAGTAGTAGTCACTGATGTATTCAACACAATGCACAGTTTGGTAGAGGTTTTCTTTAGATGATAAACTCAATGATGACTAAGATAATTGCAGGTAGCTATTTCAGTTTCTGGAACTTCTTCTGCGTTATTTAAATCTTTATATACATAGGTAAAATTCTTATACAAGGTTTTCATTTTTGAACCACTTTCTAGCCGATTCCACAATTAATGTAATCTTTTCTCAGCAAGCATTTTTGATTCGTCCAATTCCGAACCTTTCTTAAAGTGTAATTGAACTTTGCATGAACCAGATACAGTATATCTGAAAACTGTTTCGTGGCATGTCAAGGCTTGATTTTCGTATTGAAATTTTTCTAATTTTAAAATCTCAAAGAATCATTTGGCCCCTAGTAACATATATATTTTATTAGGAGTTCCAAATTGGGGATCAGCTAATTGAATGTTAGTGAGAATGTTTAATGACTGCACATTTAAATTCCTTGATGGGGGTGTTATAATGTTAATTTTAAAAATAACCAAACAGTTGATTCATCTTACATATGTTAAATCCTTATTTGAAATATGCACATTTATTTTTTCTTGATGTAAAAAGGAACTTAATATTTCTAATGTTCTCATTTATTCCAGATATGGATGCTTAAATTCTTTCTTCTTTATATTTAACAAACTGGCAACTCTGTCAGAAGACAGGGCATGTTGCTGTTATCAAGGATGTCCTGAACTGGAATCTTTTCCTTCTGATTTACAAACATATACTATTGCAGTCACTAATAAAAACAATTTTTCTTGATGTAAAAAGGAACTTAATTTTTTTTAGAACCTTATGCATTCTTGTTAATAATGTCGTCACTGGATATTTCCATTTATGTTTGACTGATGGCACCATTGCTGAGAGTCGATAGATTAACAAATGATGTTTTTTATGGCATTCAGAACATCTGAACTTAGAATAATATTTTGTGATAAAATGCTCCTTTCTCAGTTTAAGCACAATTTATTGTTTTTAACTATTTCATATCTTTGATTTGGATTTAATTTCAAAATTGAGTGGCATTTATGTTGTAAATTATTATTATTTTTACATGTCACATAAGCCGAAGCACTATCAATTTTAAGCATCAGAGTTTTTGAACTTTTTTTTAATGGATATTTTTTTTTTTTATTATTTAACTAGTATAGCTGTTAATGTTATCTAGTAATTGATATCTTTTCTCTAACAACAAAAATAATTTATCAAATGTAGGAACTTCTCTAGCATTAATGCTTAGATGAAATTGTATATGCATTTCATAATCTAGCTTGAGGAATGATATTTAACAACAGAATATCTGATAAATTATTTTTCTCATACTTTAAAATATTCAAATCCCTTATGCTTTTAGTAACATTATCTATTACATAGCTTATCCCCTTCGATGATTTGAAAGTAACATTATGTATATCCATTATTGACTTTGCATGCATCTTGATTAAGATTCTTTTATTTTCATATTTATCATGAAGAGCTTTAAACAGAGAACTGAAAGTATCATCAACAGTTTGAATTTTTTTGCTTTGTGAATTAATGCAGTCTATGAATAATAGTTAACTGAGTATTATTTGCAATAATGTTTTCAAATTGCCACTTAAAATGATTCCATTTTGTATATTTACCAGAAAATGTAGGAATTGATAATTCTGGCAAATGTATTTGTACTTTAAAATCAAATTTACTATAATCTCTTTCATTTTCAGAATGATAGAATAGATGATCAAATTTCCATAATTATCCAATTCTTCTATCATTTCTGCAGTTTCTTCATCAATGGCTGTTACATCATCTTTTTTATCAACACTTTGAAAATATTTATTTATTAAGTTTCTGATGTCCATTTGAATATTTTAGAGCATTCTATACTTTATTTTTGTTTTCGTTTACATTATCATCACATTCCTTAACTACATTTTCTAATTTAGTTTCAATTTTAACACACTTTTATTTCTCTCCAGTGCCAATATTTTGTTCTTTACTCTAGTTCAAAGGATTAATATACTGTGATTCTTTAATTCTAAGCTAAATGAGTGGACTATATAGTAAAGAACATGAACAACTTTATTAATGGTGATTACTACATTCAGTACTACTATGTTGTCTTAGCTGAAATGCATGGCCCACTAAAAGTTTCTTTCTGTTTATAATAGGTGGCACTGTATTCTAACTTAATAAAGATGAACAGCCATTTTGAATTTTAGCCCTGTTCTCACCTCAGAAGTTGCTCTGTATCATTTTATTCTTTTTATTATGAAAAATATTTAGAGATTTTGTTGTATTTTATTCATTTATTTTTCTTAGTAACAAAAGGGAAGCGGCCAAAGAAATGTTTATTGAAGCAGCTCGAATGAACCCTACTGATCCAGATCCTGATGTTCAGAATGGTCTAGGTGTTCTCTTTAACCTCTCCAGTGAATATGGCAAAGCAGTAGATTGTTTTAAAGCTGCTTTGCAAGTAAGACCAGATGTAAGTATTACCATTAATCCTTATGCTGATTCTTGCATCTTTTAGCATATCAAAATTGTGTATCGAATGAACTATACATGTATGTTCACATTGTTATGTATAAAATGAATTTTCTGTGTCTTTTTTCTCCTTTTAATTTAAGGTTAGGTAAATTATAAACATTTGATTCAAATTAAAAATTAAGTGGACATTTAAGAGTTTTTTCATTTTCAAAAAATGTCTCTATCATCTATCTCTTAACTCTGGGCTATGTTTCCACCCTTGTACTCACTTTTGTTTTGGGTTTGAATTGCACCAGAGCTCTATATATTCATGAAAGAATGTGAACACGTTTTTCTTTTCCTTTTGGGGAGGGGGGGTCTCATGCCTATTAAAATTGAAATATTTTTAATAACTTCTTGGAAAAATTATATGTAAACAACCACTAATTGTGTGGCTATTGACACTCTGTATGTAAACTGAAGGTTTCCTAACAGATTTTCCAGGCTTTGTTTTTCTTTATGCAAAAGCTGCAGAAGTATTGTTGACCAAGAAGTGGAGCTATGTGTTTGCTTTAACTGTTAACGGAAAGAAGTATTTTAAACTGGCTGACTCGAGTATATGTGTATAGTAGTATATAGTATGTATATGACTCGAGTATATTCCTATTATAATGAAATTATTTCAGTATTTTAAACCCAGCTGATGAAAATTCAGTTAGTGAGGGATGAGGATTTAGCATTAAGCTAATAATATCTAAACTTTTAACTTTTTTGTAACTGAGTAGAAAGTAAGACATTATTACACTACACTGTAGACTTACAAATAGGTGTACACTTTAAGAAAAAAATACTGAAGAAGAAAGCCTTATGTGTTAAGTAACAGTAGAAATGATGTTCCTGAAATATAAAAGTAACTATTTATAGCAATAATGTTTGTATATAATATAAAAAAATATAATGTTTTGTATTAAAATAAAAAATGTAATGGTTTTGTATTAAATAAAAAATATAATGGTGTTGTATTAAAGAATTCGTAATATACGAGTTTGTTTTAGTTGTTTCTGTGCAGATAATCAAAACATGCTATAAAATTTAAAAAAAGCAAAATGTAAGTAATACTCAGGAAAACACAAGCTATAATCAAGTAACTTCACTAATCCAAAAAACCTTTATTTCTGAGATATGCACATTAAAAGAATCTTGTAATATATTTTATGTATCAAAACGTTTCTTTCTTTTTCTCCCTCCCCCCCCCAGGTTTCTTTATAATTTAGTATTCAAGTAGTTCGCAACACTTAATGTGAATCATTTCTATACGGTAACTTTCTTTAACCCATTAGCCGCTGGTGTTGCATTGATGCAACAATCAAAATAAATGCATATATAAATATAACTACCTAACATGTTTTATACCAGCAGATGATTTTGTGTAGGGAATATTATGAAGATTATTTCTGTAAAAAAATATTTGCCTTCAACAATCATTTTATTTATAATAATTAATCTCATGCTGTAAGCAAAATTTTGGACCGGGTATTTTTGCCAAAAACATATAACGAAAGAATCGCTGTCTTTATGAGTTATCTATTTTTGGTCAAGGTCACCGCTTATCAGAACATTACATCAATCAGAAGTTTATACTTGTGTTGGGAAGGAAGGGAAAACAGGTGTTACTCTGATGCAACGTCAGCAGGAAATGGGTAATCTCCTTTTTTAGTCATTCCTTTCGATGTTCTGATTCATTTTCTGGCTGCTTTAAAAATGCCTATAATGAGGTATCTTACATTAGAAGAAGCCCTTCAAAGATTTTTTTATGAAGAAATAGTTGATGATAATGTTAATAAAGACCAGAATGAAACTGATATTGTTGCTGTTCCCCCAGAAATTGCAGAAGCTAGAGATGAAGAAGAAGGGAATGACAATGTTTTAACAATAATTATGATATTTTACCAAATGATATTGCTGGGGAAGTTGAAATTCACAAAAGAAATAAGTTTCAGCCTTCTAAAAGCAGTGGTAGTCATACGAAAAAGTTTAAAAAGCACAAAACTGAAAACTTGAAATGGATTAAAAAAAAAGGAACCCTCAGTTATGTCTCAGGAAGAGAGATAGAAGAAAAGCTACAAAAGACAAAATACAAGGTAAAACTAGTGGAGAGATTTTTGATTTTCTTTTAGATATTTACTCTCTTCTCGTTGAACAGACAAATATATATGCTCAGCCAAAAAATCACCCAGAATTTATTGCATCTGAAGCCTATATGGGAAGATTTATTGGAATATTATTGCTTACGGGATATCCTTCTTTACCTCAAGAAGAAATGCATTGTTCTCTTGATAAAGATATTTCTGTTCCTAAGGTACGAGAATTGATATCATGTTTGCAATACAGGAATATGAAGCAGAATTTGCATTTAGCTGACAATTGTCAAACTGACAATACTGATAAATTATATAAGGTGAGACCATATCTAAACTTAGTAAATATCATGACTTTTTATTACTGGAAATAAAAAGTCTCTTTTAGATTTCAAATGCGAGATTCCTTTTGTAAACTCCTATTGAGAGGTGAATTAGCCAGAAATAGATCAGCAACAGGAAGACCTAGTAAATTCAGTATTCAAACACCACTGCATGGAGATGGTAGACATTTTATCATAAAATCCGATGATAACAAAAGACTTCGTAGTAGAGCGCCATAGTCAGACTGTTTATAGATGCAAAGTATGTAATGTAGCTTTACATCATGATTGTAATCAAGATTTTCATGCTTGAATCTTTCAATTGAAATAATCTGTATTTGTAAAAGAAATATAATGTATATTTTAATATTGAATATATTACAAGAAAAGTGATTTGTAGATTTATAAAACGTTATAAGCTAAAAAGTAATCCAGTGCTCCACTTAAAGAAAACATCGCATGAGTACAATCCTATTCACTAAACATCCGTACTCTTATTCCGCTGATGTTGCATGAACACAACACTCGCTTTTTTCACAGGTAGAGCTTTTTTTAAAATTTTAAATGTAAATTAATGTTAGAAATGCTTAATTTAATATTTGTTATTGTTTTCATGAGAAAAGAATCATTCCTTGTAGTTTTGGCGGCTAATGTGTTAATTAAGCTGCACGAGAGTACGTTTTAAATTTTTATTTGAATATTCTTCGTGAATTTTTTCAGAAGGATGCCAAAGTTTTAATTTTTAGTGTAGTTTTATATTTTTTGGTGTTAGCTGTAGTTTGAGTTTGTTACCTTTTTATTATTATTATTATTATTATAGGATAGTTTGCTTTGGAACCGAATTGGGGCAACCTTAGCTAATAGTAATAGGCCTGGAGAAGCTATTGAAGCTTATTATCATGCTTTAGAACTCTATCCAGGCTTCATTCGTGCTCGTTTCAATTTGGGTATCAGCTGTATCAATCTTGGTGCTGCTAAGTAAGTATGATAGCTCTGAAGCATTTTTTTGTACTAGTACATGTGTGTTTATGTATGTGGACAAAGTAGGAGGTACAGAATCGAGATTTCTGCTATCCCGGATTCTTGGAAATTTGTAGATCATCAATCTTAATAAGATAACATGTAGAAATTATAAAATGAAAATGAGGCATTTATGATCTTAAGGAATCAGAGTGGGGGGAAAAACAACCACAAAAAAAACTGTGCTTTAAAATTTTGTCAAACTATGTAGTTTGAAGCAGTTTTATTGCTTCATTTTTTATATTTTCTTCATTATCAGCAGCAAATAACCATATGACAGATCAACTGGATTTAGTTCAGATAGAAAAATGTTCCGTGCAACCATTCAAGTTCCTGAAGTGTGGTCAAGGTTAAAAACAGTCAATATTGTAATTCCTTAGTAAGAGAGAGCAAAATGCAAAGCTATTAAACAAATGGCTTCATCTGAAGAGTGCATTTCAAGATTATGTGCTCAACCATTTCTCTGGAAACCGTGTACCCCCCCCAAATCTGGATGCTTGCTTTCTTCCCAGCCATAGGCGAAAGTGCCTCTCCCTTTTTTTTCCTTTTCAGATCCTTTCAGGAGACTACCTGAGGAATCTTTTACTTGTTGGCCTCTTAATAGGATCACATGAGACAACGGAGGCAATTTTAATACAAGTATCTGTCAATCAATGTATTGTCATCAAAGTTGACATACAGTAGTACTCTTAGCTAGTTGGGAGAAAAATTGCTTTTATGGCATCCCTGTTTATTATTATTATTATTATTCTCATGTACTGGATTTGTTTTAAAAATATTGCTGGTTGTCTGGAGGTTTGGATATTAGATTATTGCAGATATTAGATATCTGGATTCTGGACTTTGTATTGTTTATTGGGAATTTGCTTTGGGAAAACATAAATGCTTTTGTACATATATGAAGTGTTTGAAAAAGTTGGCTGCAAGTTTCATTTCCTTGAATATAAATTCTGAACATATAAGAGGCATAATTAACCCTTCAGCACCCACGCTCCCTTTCGCCACGTTAGTAACCGCGCGAGACAATTTTCACCCCAAGGTTTCATTGTCCACATTTCATGTTAAATATAATGAATGAGCACAGTTTATTGCTTGGATTGAAACCAGAAATTCTAATTTTGCAAGAGATTAATTTAATATGTTTAATTTTAAGTGTATTTTAAAACATATGACTTAATTTAAGGTCTTGCACATCATCGGTATTCAAAAGAAAACTATAAAATGTATAAATGCACATTATTTTTTAATTACATTCACAGTCAAATTTTAAATAAAAAATAAATTCCGTTGATTTTATTATTTAATCTAATTAAATTATTCCATTTAATTTCTAATTATATTATAATGCAATTTATCAAGCCATCCCTTTCAAAATTAAGTACAGTAATACAATTTATCATTTTATCCCTTTCAAAATTAAGTTCAGTAACACAATTTATCATTTCATCTCTATCAAAATTAAGTACAGTAATACAATAACTGAAAAACATACCTTTAATTATTCAGAATCTTTATTTTTGAAACAATCTTCATATAAGATATTTACATGTTTCTTACAAATTAATTTGTTGCATTCTAAACAAGATATAGATGTTTTCCAGTCGTCTTTTCTTGGACAAATGTCACATCATCTGCAGCTTCTCTTTTGAAACTTTTTTGGTTCATTAGTTACATCGACTCCAGCCAACCTCTTCACTCCAATTTTTAGTGCAATGGGTAGGGATGTGATATTTGATTGAATTACTGCATGTTCTTTTACAAGGGCTAATGATAATTCCTTCAAGAAATCCCTTCATTTCATATTACTCTGCTCATGGTTAGAGTTGTGTATTATGAATGCATTAATCCCGGCAATATTCATTAGTCCAAAAAATATTGTAAGCGACCAACGTCGGCATCTTCTTGAAACTGAATATGTTCCACATAATTCGTCTACAGTATCAACACCACCTAAGTCATATTGTAGAACATTATCATTTCGGGTTTGTTCTGTTCGCCTGATTGTGGATCAATTTTGTTGTCATCATGCAGCATGGATAACTATACCAGGACCGATTTTTTTTTTTTTTTACATACGATGTTTAAGTAAGTTCCTTATTTTTGAAGCCAAATAGTGAAGAGTGTATAGGCCTTTACGAGGTAAAAATTCTAACGGAATTTCTCTTTTATTTTTTTGAAGTGTACCGACACAAGTAAGTTTATAATTGTGTAATAAATCAGTCACTAAAGAAACACTCATGAACCAATTATCCATTGTTATATTCCTACATGTTCCTTTTATCGGAGAAATGATTCTTTTGACAACATCAGATGCCGTATTTGATTGCCTGTAAGGTCCGATAGGCTGTTGTCTGGCATAAATTTCTAAATTATATGTGTAAAACGTGCGAGAATCACATAAAGCAAAAATTTTAATACCATACTTGGCTGACTTATTTCTCATGTATTGTCTGAATTGACACCTTCCTCTAAATGCTTCAAGTTTTTCATCAACTGTGCAATATTCTGAGAGAGAGTACAGTTTCTGTATGTTCTTCAAGAATTTTTCAAAAATGTCCCTAAAAGATGCGAGTGTATCAGTTTCTTTTCTTTGTGATCGCGAATTTATATTATCAAATCTAATGCATCTCAAAAGGAAATGGAAACGATTGAGTGTTATTGTATTTCTAAAAATACTAACTCCACAACCATCAGTAGACCACAAGTCTTTTGCGTTCAGGTGCGCTGCTCTCAAAACACCAGCATAGTACAGTCAAAAGTTGTTAATTCGGACACCCATAATCCGGAATGATCTATAATCCGGACCTCAAAGCTAAAAACTTTCTGCGCATGCTCCGCGTTGACACATGCGCATAGGCATTTACGCGTGCATGTAAGACCTTTACGACTGCGCATATGCGTCTGCGCAAGCGCAGAATACGTTTTTGCGTGCGCGTTTAATGTATAATGGACGGTATAAGCTAAAATTATCTATTTCAGTTAATGTTGATGATTGCGTTGTTCCTTAATCTTCGAACTGGATCCAGCTTATTACCTTTTTTCAGACTGTAAGAGCAATTTTATAAAAGTAAACTTGAACTTTCGATTATGTCAAATAGAATTTCCGATGCTGGAGCTCCCAAAGGATCTACAAAATGAAAGTATGTTTCGATGTCCATCAAACAAAAAGTGGAATTGCTGCAAAAAATGGATAAAGGCATGAAGAAGGTGACAGAGAGGTTAGTGAAAACGAAAAAATTTCGATTGACAAGTTAGTCGGAATTCTCGGCACAGCAATTTACGGGACTTGAACAGCGGAACTTTGTAACTGAACAAGAAATTATGTCTGTTTATAGAATTAAAGAGAAAGTATTATCACATAAAACGAAGCAACTTGAACAACTTACATTGAAAGAAATGTTTAATAAAGTAAACAAATAAATATTAAGCTTTTTTTTTTTTTTTTTTTTTTTGGTAAATTTTGATACCCTTTAGATCATAATTGTTCTTTATTTCATAAATTACGGTTTCATACTTTTAATTTTAGAATTTCTGCATGCCATCTTACGAGATTTAAACTGATGATCTATAATCCGGAATCGCCGAAGTCCCGACGAGTCCGGATTAACGACTTTTGACTGTATAACAATCCAAACAAAGCCTTCAGTTTAGCTACATTTGTTTCAAGAGCATCTCTTTCTCTGGAAAATTTATCTTTTATTGTTGAAATATAAATATTAGTATAGTTGACCAAATCTTCTATAATATCATCATCCAAAATTTGAAGTAAACAATCAACTGGAGTTTTTAAATTTCGATATTGTTTTTTTACACCAGGTAAATGGGTTACAATGTTTTTCGACGGAGTCCGAACATTTTTGAAAGGCAATACATTAGACCAGTTTGTTCCATCTTTTCCCACATAGAAATCTTCGGATGAGACAGAAGATGTAACACATAAATCATTTACATCATGTTCTTATTCAGAATGTGTATTGTGGTCACTTTCTGATATATTATCATCCTCTCATTCAGAATCTTCTATTTCACTATCTGTTTCAACACTCGCAAGCGGAGCTCGCAGTCTCTCTTGTTCAGGTTCGTACGCACTCATTTCGACTGAAGAAGTGAATACAAGTAGAACATTCCACACCGTGCGGGGTTGCTACCGTCCCACAGCTCTTTATCTGTAAATAGTCTAGCCATTCAGACATCGTGGAAAAATTCCTTTCAACCATGCCTTTATGAACTCAACCCTGAAAAGTAACGGAAATACCAGAACAGTCATGTACAGCATTTCTTCTTTTCTTACTAAAAATATAGGAGTGGGATGGGAAATGTCCCGTTGCAGGTGCTGACGGGTTAAGACACAATAATACGCCGAACAAATACTAATTCAGAATTCAAACAACAATTTATATTTTAAATTTTCATATTATATTTTAAAATTTTCACAGCCAAAGAACTTCAAAATTGCAAATAGTACTTACCGAAACCCATGCAATCACAAAATGGCGGCCACAAACGTGCAAAAAAGGAAGTGAAAATTTGAAAATATAATGCTGATTTTTGTTGTTTGACTTCTGAATTAGTATATAAGAGGCATATAAAAAAAAAAAAAAAAAAGCTTTTAAAGTGTGTGTTGATGACTGCAGATGGTGTGCTCCGTCAATCTTGCATACCTAGTTGCATATCTTTAATATATTGCTTGTACTGGGTTCCAGTCTCTGCATTTGTTTTCAGCTACTGCTTGTGCAAGGTTAAGTATAGGCTGCTTGTCAATCAGTGAAGAGGCAAAAATGAAGGAATTGGAAGAACAATAATATAGGTCTTGTGCATCTGGTGTGAATTTTTTGCGCGAAACTGAGGAAAACGTTCGTGGAAGCATTCTGAATGCCTGATTAAGCACATAAAGACGACTGCAAGAACCAAATGCCATACTTTGATTGATTTCAACATTTTAAAAAGGAGGGCCGAAGTTCGATTGATGAAGATCCAGTGGGCTTGATGACCATTATAGCCCCGTTCACAAGAGCAGATTCGACCGGTAGCGAAAACCGGTTCTTCCAACGTGTCCCGTTCACATGGGACAAGCATTAACTGCCTCGCCGAATTGGAGGTAGAACTTGGTTGAATGTTTCTTACCTCTCGGGAGCAGGGCAAATGGGGAGATTTCCCGTACTATACTGCGCGGTTCACTTAATTTTAGTTACTGCTGCTCGCTGGACTGTCAGCGAAACAATCGCGCTGATAGATGTCTGGGATGTGATAGCATCCCCCCCAAAATTAGACAGAACTGTACAGATACGGAAATTATAGGCAAATACAGACAAGGTTTATCTGATGCTAGGTAATCCAAAATATCGTTCAAATTAAAACTAAAGTTAAAACAAGTGCATAGATCGGCTTCAACGCAAAAAGGGACTCGGTACCTTTTGAATGATTTTTTTTTAAAATTTAAGCATTTTCATCTACTTAATAATTATGAATCATCCATTTAATAATTATGAATATTATTAAATGGTTTTTGTGAGACAAAATAATTTTGAGCTGAAAAAAAGTTTTTGCTAGCTAATTTTTTTTAATTTAAATTTTTGAAGAAAAAATTTTACGATTAAAATGTCTTTCTTCTCCTACAATTTTCAATGTCTCCCCCCAGTTTTTTATTGTATTTATTAAAGTGTTCTTAATAACTTCAAGGAATGATTTTGCAATTAATGAATTAGTTTCTGAGGGGGGAAAAATACACTTTTATCTAAAATCTTTAAAACAAATATGATCTCAGTCACATTTTCATTTCAAATAATTTTTTCCGAAAGTATTTTGCAAAATCCATCCTTGTTTCTATAAAGTATATAATTTTATATAAGCAGTAAAAATAATAAAAAATTTAATCCATACCTGTATATATTTTAGGAGTAAAAGGATTTATTGGAAAAGTGCAAAGTTTCTCAGTTTGCATTTGCAGTTTAAAGAATTCAAACTGTCTAAATAGACATTTAATCATTTCAAATCTTTTAAAATTTTATTACTGAATTTCAATATACACACATGTATATAAATCAAACCTAGTGCTATTTATTCAATTGGTAAATATAAACATAAATTACAATCCTTTTTTTAAAACCTTATGTGGCCAGAAAAATTGCAAAAACTTATAAAAAGCAAGCAGAATTTTTCTTTACCTGTTTTTGTTTTGTAAAACACGTTCAAAACAATTTTAATACATTAATTAAACTTATAATATTGCTGCGTGCGTACGGGTTTGTAATAGATTGATAATAGTTTTTTAATAGATTGTCATTGCACTCAAATCCGATGATAGTTTAATTAATTTTATTTTATCAACATAAACACTTCAAAGTTCTGGAATTTTCCACAGAAATACTCGTACAAGTGTTTAGCATATCACTAAAGTATAATCAGTAGTTATGCTTCAATCTACCAAAGAACGTTAAACACAATGCGCATCTTAAGAGAAAGTTAACTCAGAAATATCTCCAATCTCACGCTGAACTAACAACTGGTAACAATAACAACTTATATAGCGTAAATAATGTCATAAAAATAGTGTGGTATAATGAGATTATTACTTTGAAACCGATGTTTCGAATTGATGCCCAAGAAGAACCAATATTTTCCATTCTGCTTCATTGCATATCTTTCAAAAAAGTACAAAATCATCCAATTAATTTCCTTTATCATTTTTTTTAAATGCGAAAAGTTTGTTTTATAAGCTGTGAAAATGTCGGAAGTTTGTAACCGATATTTTTAGATATGAAATTTTAAAATTAATGGGCGTCAAAAAGTCTAAAAATATGAACGATTTTCAAAAAAATTCTCCCAAAATATTTTTAAAAAAATTACGCTAAAAATTTCATTTAATTTTTTTTCTTTCACAGTGTGTTATGGTGCAAACTATAATATTCTGAGATTCTCAGTTTATTTGTTAATATTTGCAAAAAGTCGTTTCAACTTTAAATTTGAAAAAAAAATCTAATCCTCTAAAAATCAAAAGCGTGACACCACATCCACAAGCAGTGTATGTACAAAGTTTGAGTTCTATGTCATATCGGGAAGCAGTTTAAAAATTCATTACCATCTTTTAACCATAGCGACAAGCACCAAGAGTGAACTAAATAACAGCTTATAAAATAATAATAATAATTAAAAAGCATATATTTTTCAGGAACCATTACGAAAGTTCAGATATCAGTTACGAAAGTACAAATTACAAAATTAACAACAGTAAACCACGTTAAAAATGTGTGAACAGTATTAGAAATCTGCCAATTCGGAGACGTGATTGTTCATAGAGGCTTTAGGTGTAAAGGGGAAGGAAGACGGTGGTCTTCTGAACGGGTCCTAAAGACGAAACTCTTTCATGTCTCCTTTTTCTCCCCTTGCTAACGGCAGCTGTGCGAAGGAGCGTTGCATGTGAACGGGGCTTATGTTCAGAGTGCATCATGAATTTCTATCACATGTTCAGATGGAAAGCAAGAAAGTCTACCAGAGAATTTTAACACAGTTTAGAGAGGCTGTATGTAGTAATAGACCTGAATTGTGTGTGTGGGGGGGTGAATCAGTCCTGAATGTTGCATCGTGACAATGCTCTAGCTTTGCCATATAGTACTAACAGCAGATTTTTAGAAACTATATCCTGGGCCAATGGTTAATTTTGCTTGTGCTTCTGTTCATAACAAAATATTACAACTTCGGAGGAAATTTAATTGGGAAGTTTGTCAAATCTACAAAAAAGTTTTTATGTATTGTGCTGTCTTTTTGTTAGAAAATTTTTCAAATTAAGTTTAAAGATTAAGGCTGTATCTGGGTTAATTTAATGAGAGGTTAAAATATTAGTCAACAAACTCATACTAAATGAAGTTTTCTGTTCAATAAATGCATTTAAATATGTAATTTTTAGTATTGTTAAACATATGTACTTAACAGAAAAAAAAAAAAAATGTGTTTCCTCCTCAGGCTTAGGGGAATTCACTTTTGAAATGAACTGTTTCAAAACTGAATGGACAGTAAAAGTAATAAATTTGCAGTCTGATTTTTTAGATAGCAGCTTAATACTTAAAAAGCCAACAGAAACAATATGAAATATGCAATAAAAACTTAATTATTTTTTAATGTTGAGAGATATTTACTTGTACATAAAAATTATGACAGGTTGATTTGAAGATCTTCCTCTTTTAACAGAGTCTTATTTTTATTTACGTAGTTTTCTTATTATAATAAAAACATTATCACTTTTGTGTTAATGAAATATTAAACAAAGCAACTGTTATTATATATCTTTCAATGAGACATCTGATAATTATCTGTACTTTTTTATACTATTCAAAAGGTGAGATAAAAATCATTTTATAAGATTGTATTGCATTTGCTATTGATGGGAATTCTTTTTATTTCTTTGGCATTTTGAAACTGTTGTGTAAATTAACAAAAAGTTTCTTGTAAGCAAGCATGATAATTTTTGTATTGCTTGTTCTTTTCTTTCATTATATTTAATATAGGTCTTGTGTTTATAATTAGTTAATGAATGTTTCTGGAGCTGATATTGAGTAGGGTAAATTTAAATCTGATCACAATTTTATCAAGTTCTTTCAAATATTCTTTTATTATGAGTAATTGTGAAATATTATTTTGATAAAATATTGGGTAATTATATGTTATCCTGTTGACTGTGAAATTGTCACCAAGCAGCGTGATTTAGTGTCAGTGATGGATGATCACGCCATAACAACAGATTCATAACATCTGAATGTTTGCTTGATGTAACCCCAGTGATTCATGATGTTTTCTTCATGTTTGATGACCTCTTTTTTCATGAACAAGGCTATAAATTAGCTGTTATTGCTATATTTTTTGTTGCATATTTGATTAAAATTTGGGACTTGTCTTCTACAAAACAGTAAATGATAGATTGTTGACAAGGTTGGGGTGTCATACCATAAAAAATGTATTTAGTAATGGATATGGTGTGGTCAGCTAAATATAAACAAAAAAAGAGTATTAATTTTTAACAGTTGCCTGTGAAAAATCTGTACTTAATAGCATTGTAAACAGGCTTGCAGGTAAAATTGGAGAATTAACAAAATAGCAGAAATTGGCAAAAGCTTTCTTAGGAAAGGCCGGGGGGAAGTAGGTCGAATCATTGTTGTTTATTAAATAAAGAGAGATAATTCCTTCGGAATTCTGCAGGAACAATTGCTGCAATCTTGGTGGAATATCCACCAGCTTTGATTGTTCAGTGGTAACCAATGTTCGTAGTCACAGGATAGTAACATTGTTTTGAAATAATGTAAATTGCTGTATATTTTTATGCTTAATTTGGAAGTATCAATTTAAGTACTGCTTACTATTGTATTTTACTTTTTTGTACATTTTGTGTAACTGCTTGAAAAGAGTTCAGAAAAGATCAGATCATAAAATTTCACTGTTAGTTACCGGTCAAATTTTGGAAAGTTCTAAAAAATTAGGATGCTCTGCAAAGTCATCATTAAAAGTTAGTTTCCAAAGGCATTCCCTTTCTCATAGCAGTGTAGTCATTTGCAGAAAGTACTGAGAAATTAACTACTGTTCTTGAGAAGTTTTGGTGAGGATAGTGGATAAAAATTGCTGTATCTGTCTTTAGACAATATTTTGCAGCCTTTTTATGTTTGAAATTTTCAGTCTTTTAACTGATAATGATTGACATATTAATTTTATTCTGTGTATTTCTGAAGCTGTTTGTGATATCTTAGGGAGTAACCAACAGTAACATATTAAATTACACTTGTTGATTATACTTGATTTTAACTGAGCATATTAATTTTTTATATTAATTCAAGTTACTGTTCAGGAAAATAAAAAGCAAAAATGCAGCAGCAGTTCATAAAGCATTTAGCTTTATGCTCTTTTTATGTTAATCATTTCATGATATATAACTAATAATAATGGTCTTTATAATTTTCAGAGAAGCAGCTGAGCACTTTTTGTCTGCACTTAATCTACAGAATGCTGGAAGAGGTCCACAAGGGAAGTCATCTAAAGCTGCTATGTCAAGCAATATTTGGTCTACTCTGCGTATTGTAATGACACTCATGAAGAGGATGGATTTATACCAAGCTGTTGACAACAAAGATCTTGATTTGCTCAATAAAGAATTTGGGATGGAAGTCTAATTAAAATATATAAAAATTCAATTATATTTATTTGTAGTTTATCCATCATAGACTATTCAGTTATTTGAATTTCTTCTCCATAAAGAAGAAATTATTTACAAACGTAACATACAAATTATTTACATACTGTATTTGCTTGCCTCTATAGTAACCTTCCAAAGATTTATATGATCTAGTATTATTTCTATATTCTTCTTTTGCTCTTTATTATTGTGTAACTCCTGCATAAAATTTCAATTCCAATAATAAATTTTCATTGTTTTTTACCAATTTTGGAATTGTTGCTTCCCCGCCCCCCAGAATGTTTTTTTTTATATATATACAATCTATGACGCGAGAGAAATATTAGCTTCTTAAAACATTCTTTCTAGGAGAATTAATATAAAAATTTATATTTAATATATATATTTTTTTAAAGCTGGGACTTGAACCAAACTGTAAAACTTTTAAAGTTTAATTTACATGGTGGTTATAATTAAAGTCCCACTTTGAAATGGTCATAATCCCCCAGAATGTATTTACATGGCAAAATTTTTGTATATATCTGCTGAACTTATTGAAGACTGGTAATTCTGTTAAAATTTTAATTTTGATAAAATGAACTAATTACATTGATTGGTCCCATTTGTAAGCACAAGCCAGTTTCAGCAAAGCACGTTCTAGAATACTGGTAGGGTAAATTTATTAGTTTACATAATATAAGTATTCAAAAATATAAATTCAAGTTATAAAAATTATTGATTGAATTCATGTGAAAAGTAAATAATTACTAAATAATTAATAGGTTTAAAAGTTCTTTATAAGGAATGTTATTCTTAAAGTCAGTACATTATTTGACATTTTATCAGCTATTGCTTCATAATTAGGACCAGTGTGATGAAATCCCTGCTCATAAGCAATCAAGTTGTTCATATTGAAGTTGATTTGTGTACTTTTATTTTGTGATATTAATTATTGAAAACAGTGATTCACAAAAATATATGGAATCGAAAAGCGATTTTATCTAGTATGATGCTCTTGATTGATGTAAACAAATACACTTATATTTCTGAGGTAAGCTGCTAAGTATTTAAAAAAGTTATATTTTATTGAAAAATTAAATATTTTTATCATAGTCACAGGACAGCCGGCACACATAAAACTGTTGACAGTTGCAATGGTACCTGCGGGCTTTAGAGTTGACGACCCCTGTTCTACATGAAGATTTTAGAGCAGTTAGCCTCAGTGTCTTTGAAATAGTCTATTTTCTAGCTACTGTTGAAATTTATTATAATGTTTAAAATCAAACTTATGTTGCATTTCTGTATAATGGTATCTTGTAAATAAGTTTAACTAATAAAATTAGTAATATTATTTAATGAAACTTTAAAGTGTATTTTTTTTTAAAAGAGCTTAAATTTGTTAACAGGTTTGTAAATTTCTTATTTCAAAGCTAGTTATTTTAATGAATATTCAGTACATAGAGAAGAATTATCAAAATTGGTTGGAATCAAAAGTACTTTGAATAATAAGTTCTGAAACATGCAAATGGAATATTGTGTTTGTTTTAAATATTTAAATTAATAACTTTTTATCCTGGGAAAAAGAAAAAAATATTATAAAAAAGTGCAAATGTGTTGGTTTGGTTTATATTTATTTGATTATATCAAACCCATTAAATCTATTTGCCCAAAAAAAGGGATGCTTTGAGGGAAACAAAATTCTATAAGACTTTTAACTATGTCAGGAAAAACTTCCAGCATGGCACATTTTCTTTATAAAATGTGAATTAAATAAATGGTCAAGTGAAATTTTGAAATAACTGCTGGTGATTTTGCTTCATTAACCTTTTGATGGTCATCAGTGATTGCAGTTAGAATTCCAGTTATGCTCTACAGTGGGTGCAAATGAACATCTAGGATTACAAATTTATGACTGACAGATATGTGTATTTGGAAAGAAAGAATTGCTTAATCTCACAACTGCTGAAGGGTTAAAAGCAAGAAAAGTTCTGTGTGTGTGTGTATATATATATATAGAGAGAGAGAGAGAGATAAACACATTGTATGTATATGTAATTTATCTCTTTGCTTGAGGTGAAAAAATATGTAAGTATGGCTCTGGCTAAACATAGTTGGGCATTTACCGCAATTTTTACTTCAGTTGTGCAAATATTGTCTGCAAAGCTTCTTCATTTGGTAAACGGTATTTCTGTTGAAGCCTTTCCATTCATAAAAATGTTTCTTCTTTAGTCAATGACATTAATTCTAATCTAGTAGTTCTAAATGCCTTTCAGAACTTGAATTCTTAGCCTTTTTATGTTTTATTAACATTATCTCTGACAGTTGACGATTTATTTTCACTTTGCTTCATCCATTAGTTTCCATATAAAATGATTTCCTTCTATCCTTACAAAAAAATAAATAAAATAAAACTGAAAGAGAGAGATCTATATCTCACCTTCGAAAATGATAAGAATTTCGTACAAAATCAAAGCTAATCTAAATTTGCCTTTTTGCCTAATTTTAAATTAATAAATAAATAAAAGATGTGAATGCAGTATCAGTAGTATTAAATGAATTAACACTTTGTTAATTATAAGTAATCAGATTTTGTATTAAAGTGATAGGAGTATAAATACATTAATTATACAGTCAAAAAAGTTACATATATACAGTATACTGTAATTATGTGTGTTTTCTAATAAATAATTTAACCTAATCAAACCAAAGTTTATTTAGATGTATACTTATATAATGCAACTAAAGCACTTCTTTTTTTCAAAAAATTTTATCTATATATTCTTGTCTTTTAATATTCTTAGACTTTGTTTACACACAGACAAATAATTGTAGAGGGTTTCATATCATTTATTAATAACCAACAAAAGTAAGGTATGTTGTTAGGGTTTATGCATTTGAAGAGCATAAACCTTGCAAACATGTTGACATACCATTAAATTTAATGAAAATACCAAAGGCACCAATGGTAATTCCTACCGACAGCACCATCTTGGTATCTTGTAGATTTAGAACATGTCAATTTTTCTGGCGTTTCAGGTCTTGTGTCTGGTGAGCTTATGATTGAAACACCACCTGAAGGTGTGGAGATTATATTAGCTGTCAAACCACCTTCTTTTATTCTTTTTTCTTTTTCTGGCTCAATAATCAAGCTAAAAGGGAAGCTTTTTGGCGTAGTAGTTTGTGTAGGTCTTTCCGTGGGCACAGTATGATGCTCAAATGTGCCAATTTCAAAAAAGAATTTTAAAAAAGTATATGTTTTGGAATAAAAATTTCTGGTAACAGCTTATTATTTAAAATTAGAAATATTGCCTGTTGCTTTTAAATTTATTGTTCTTTCAAAATGTTGCATGTAAACAAGCTGTGGATTGAAGGATATGTTTGCGCTTTTCAAAGAGAAATATTCCTATTCCAAAATTCAGAAACATTCTGTAATTCATGATATTAAAAATTTTTATGTGCAAAATAAGCAACTTTATTAATCAGAAAGAGAAAAACCATCAATCATTACTTGTACATAGAAAGAAGACCCCCCAAAAAATGTATAATGTTAAATCGTTGGTACCATGAGAAAATCCACTGATGCATAAGTCAGTTGCAAAATGTTTAAATACATCTATAGCAACAATAAATGAAATGATAAATAAAGGTGTACAACATTGAAAAACATAATGTTAATCAGATTTTGCCTAGGCATAAGGATCAAAACATAACAATTTGTAGAACTGCTATGTGTTGAGCTCTATGCAAACTATTTAGCAGGAGATAAATGAAAATACATTGTGATCCTTGATGAAGCAAGAGTTTACTTAAATAACTGCAGCAAAACTAGTCTATTTACTGTCGAAATTTTTTGATACTTCTACTAAATTTATTAGGAGATAATATAATCAATATTCCTTTAGTAAATAAATTATTATCTTCCTTTGCAGCTATTGCACAAGTATTAGAAAAACTTATTTTCAAACTAAGTGAATTTAACCCATTAACTGCCAAATTTTTATTTCATCAATTCTTATTTTATTTCTGTTAGTTTATATCTAAATAACAAGAAAAACATGTTTTTCTCATAAATGCGTCAATTTTTTTCAGAAATTTTAAGTCCGATCCCCAAATGGGGATCATGGCTCATACTATCTACTTTTAATGCCAGCGTTCAAAACAGTCTACGTGTAATCCAACATTATATTTTCCACATTGTTTTCTTGTATTTGTTTTGCACACTGCACATTTTCTTTGTTTACCATTTTCGGTCCGTTCAATATAATGGTTACCAGATGTTCTGATAACAGTAGGAACACGATTAATTGATGCTTTAGTGAAAGAATTCCTTCCACCCTTTTTTGCATCTGAGAGTTCTGAAGATAAAGCAAGATATCGGCCCACGAACGACTGAGTGGTAAAGTCGCCGAACACTAAAGTTCGGTCCGAGGTTCTAATGAAGTAAACTTTATGAGCATTTGGTGCCTGAAGAATAAATACCATCTAAAAGACAACAGATGTCTCAAGCCCACTGATGCTTTCATCATCTCCTAATTTCTTTGATTTGCCTTCATACACTTGAGTCTGATAACAATATCCAGTCTGTGAACAACAGATAGCCCATTGTTTGAACCCAAACCGCACTATCTTACCACTTATAAATTGTTTGAGGTAGTGATATCCATAGTAACGAACCATCTGTTTGTCAATGCTCAAACTTTCAGAAAACACCCCAAATTGTTGAAATTTGTCATTCAGCTTGTCAATCAATAGGCGAATCTTGAAGAGGTTATCACGTTCACCTAGTGGAATCCTTTCTAAATTGGATTTGTCACTGATATGTAGGTACCGTTTAATTTCCAGATACCTATTCCGTCTCATGCATACTCTAACATACAGAATGTTTATGTCTTCATCTTCACACCAATATAATTGTTCTTGCGGAAGTGAATGATAATCAGTGAAAAGAAGTATTCCAATAAATTTTTTAGGCAGTTATTAGAAAGCTGAAATTGATGTTTTTCTGTCTGGCGTATATTACAGACTGCTGAACAATATAGGTGACAGTTTCATTATCAAAAAGTATTTCAAAACACTCTACCAGAGACGCCTTGTCATTTCGCCTTGTCTCTATAACGTCAAAATTTTCATATAGTTTCAAGTACTTAGGTTGCTTCTTTTTCCAATTAAAAGTCAATACTTCTTTTCTCTTTTTAGCAGGTGGTAAGCCGGTACCTTTTGTTACTTCATTTGCTGAAGATTCAGTTGCATTCACTAAAACATTTTCCTCAAATCCTGCCACACGGTGAATTTCAACACACCCGGGAACATCAAGTGGTTCTCCATCATCAATTACGTTGTCATCCATGTCCTTATTATCTGAAATCTCATCAACCCGCTCTGGTGGGATTTCAACAATTCTATGGGGCTATTATCGTCGTCATCGTCAGATGCAAAAAAAATCATCAGAATTTACAATTTTTTTTCTATTTCTTTTAAAGAAAGATATCTTTTACGCGACATTTCCTGGTAAGAAAAAAAAAGAAAAAAGAAAAACAGTTTTTGTTACAATTTTAGTCAGTATCAGCCATGATCCCCAAATGGGGATCGATATATCTAGGTTCATTGTACCCATTCAAATTACAGTATGAGGATAAATAATATATAAATACATTAATTACTTACCACTGATCAAGAGAAATTCATTACAACAAAAATAATTGTTCCTAAGTAACTTTTTTGTGCTTTGAAAATAACCGTATTATTTTCCTCGTGAATGAGAGCAAGAAAAATAAACTCATGAGCTCAACTGACTGAGTCCACGTGTTTTTTTTTTACAATTTCTATCCTTAGTTGCAATCTTCAGGAAAGCATGACCACCCGTAAGGGACCACCCAGGTGCAGCATGACGTCACAATGTATACAAATACAAAAATCCCCATATCATGACAGGGAATGGGTTAAGATCTTTCAACATTTGATATGCTAAATAGCAGCTATTACAGATACAAATAGCAGCTATTAGTGCTATTTTTCTTTTTAATGCATTCCCTCTATATATTATCTCCGCATTTTTATTTTTAAGTTTAAAAGTTTTTCTACAAAAACTTTACTGTACTTTAAAACACAATTTTCGGAATTAAACTTCCTACAAATGGGTTCCCTCTTTTTTGATTACTAAATTTATTAGGAGATAATGTAATCAATATTTCTGTAGTAAATAAATTATTATTATCTTACTTTGCAGCTATTGTGCATAATTATAAAAACTTGTTTTCGAACTAAGTTGAATTTAAGATCTTTCAACAATATATATATATATATATATATATATACACGGTGATTCAGAATTCATCATCAATATTGGGTGGGGAGGTAGGGA